TTATCTAACCTTTTCGAAAACGAATAATTAATTGTTCGTATGAAATGTCATATCTGACTGAGGTGGCTTTCGAATTAACTCAAACAGCACTTTATCTGCAGTTACAAGCCTTTGTTACTCAGTCAAAAGTTCAACGTCGATCTCCACATATACAAATTTCATGCCAAAGAAAGCTATTTGTACCGATGACTGGTGGTATTATGACTGAAAGCAGGAATACGACTCTTGTAAAAGAAATTCGAATATAACTAGGATTACATTAAGTAGAATGAAATGGTAGGATAATACCATTAAATTGAGAGCCAATTGGGGAGAGAAATGCCTAGATCTTTTCGCACTTTACTAATTGAATATGTAGGATTCGACATCAAAACATCGTTCGTTTTTGTATTTGGCTAATCGGATTTCCAATTTAAAATTTTAGATGCCATTTAAAATAAAATCTAAAAACTCTCCGACTTACGAGATCCATTATTGCTCCCACTTCTTTCGACCTTCCTTGTTTCTCGTTCTTCGTCTTTCCCTTTCCGATTTTCTCCTTCATTCACTTCCTCTCTAATGTGGCTGGCAATACTGAACATGTTTCGCGAGCTTCTATGTTCGAGTCCTCCTACCGACGGGCTTGAAATCGGGGTGCTTTGGTTCAAGGAATTCAGAGCCGCAGCACCAACTTGGGCTAAGAGTAATCCAGCCATCGGATTTGTGGGGAGATTGTAAAAATCAGCCAGTGAGGGTAAGGGGAAAGGAAACCGTGCAAAGTCGGGCAAAAACATTGAGGCCGGTGCGGAAGGAGACAACAAATCCCCAGATGATACAGGATTTGAAAATATTGACTTTTGGGGGCCTTCGGAATCCTCCTCAGGCAGTAGTGGAGTAGTGGTGGTGGTGACTGCAGTCGCAGTGTCCGGAGTTGAAATGTCGATTTGTTCGTTCCACATTAAATCCTGTTTACTACCGGTTTCGTTCATTTTGTGAGTGTAAATGACGACGGTCCAAATGAGTGTGAAGCCGTTATGTAGGTAACCAATCAGTGCAGCGTACAGAGACGCAGTAGTGTGTGATTGGTGCGCCTAGACAGTTGCATGCTTTTAGCTGATTGGCTGAGTAGCCAACGCGTGTGTGTGATGATTCTTTGAAGCACTGAAGCAATAAATACGAAGAATTCACTTTATAAACTGAAATATTAAAAAGTAACATATCAATGGGTAACACTAATAAAGCTGATTAAATGCGAAAAAAAAATTCATTTAAAATTTTTTTGTGTCTATTAAATATGTAACATAGCAAATCTTTGTTCACGAATACTTTGAAATTCAGTAGAAGTCAAAATGTAAACATACCAACTTTAAAATATTGCCATTTTTGAATCATTTAAAGACAATCGGAGGTCAAAAAATTCTAGAATGTGACACGGACATGTCCCCTCCCTTCACCAAGACAATATTGAAATTTCTACTTCACTGTCCACTTGTTACGCAAGTGCAAGTATTGACTGGCTATTTTGATTAGACTGGACGTAATAATCTAATATGTATCAGACGGTGGACCTATGGTTACGCTTCCCATTGCCATCTGTTATTTCTAATTAAATCAAATGCGCTTTAAAAGTGGCCAAACTTTTCCTTCACGCCGCTCGAATTGGCAAAAGTAAATTTCTAGATTTGCTTAATTCCACTTAATTAATTAAACGCACCTATGGTCGAAAATCTATCTATCTCTTTCAAATGGCAGGCGTTTTGATAACTATCATTAGCCCTTAACAAATGGCAGGCGTTTTGATAGCTATCATTAGCCCTTTAACTGACTTCGGTATGGCAGGCGTTTTGATAGCTATCATTAGCCCTTTAGTTGGTGGCAGGCGTTTTGATAGATATCATTAGCCATTTAGCTGAGTCACTCAATGCCATAACATTTATTTTTTCAAATGACAGGCGTTTTGATAGCTATCATTAGCCATTGGCTGACTTCGGGCTTCACAAAGGGAAGGTTCATCAAAGTAATGACTTCGGGCTTCACAGAGGGAAGGTTCATCAAAGTAGCCGTATTTGCAAATGAGATAGATATCATTAGCCATTTAGCTAAATGGCAGGCGTTATAATAGCTATCATTAGCCATTTAGCTGACTTCGTGATTCACAGAGGGAAGGTTCATCAAAGTAGCAGAAAGTCGAAAGAGGGGAGGAGGAACATCAAAGTAGCAGAAAGTCGAGGGTAGAGGGAAGGTTCATCAAAGTAGCAGAAAGTCGAGGGGTGAGAAACAGAAGAGCCATTCACAGATGTAAAAGGGATAGACAGACACAAAGGTAGAGAAAAAGTAAAAGTGAGTACTGTGGAAGGGGTCGAATATGAAATACAGTGGGGTCATGGTAGTTTGAAGTCAGAAGTTAACTGCCGATCAATAGACATTTTTGCCGTACGAGTATACGTTGCCCAGGGTGTGCCACGTGGAGGTAAGTCTATCGCACACCCCATGGTCGAAAATAATATTTTGAATATTTCACTTTGCAAAAACACCTCTCCTAGTCTACGTTCCGACGTTAAAGCACTGACGTGATTGAAGAGGATACCTCTAATTCTATCTAATATTAATTTTTTTTATTTATAAAAAATGGCAGGCGTTCTGATAGTTATCATTAGCCACTTAGCTGAATTTGGGCTTCACAGAGAGGAGGAGGAACATCAAAGTGACAAAAAGGCTAGAGGGGGGGGGGGAACAGAAGAGTGTTTCAAAGATGTAAAAGGTAGAAAAAAGGTGAGGTGAATACTGTGGAAGTAGTCGAATATGAAATACAGTGGGGTCATAGTAGCTTAAAGTCAGAAGTCAACTGTCGGTTTGATTGACTTTTTTGCCGTATGAGTATACGCTCCCCAGGGTGCACCACGTGGAGGTAAGTCTATTGCACACCCCATTCTATCTAATATTGGACGTTACGACAGCTCATAAGTGAATCCTCACATTTGTAATTAAGTCCCATACTTCAACTGAAGTAACAGTTGTGATGGCTTGACGTCTTTGATTACCTATTTTTTCTACCTAGTAAACAGCGCATACGCATTCTGTTCAATATCTATATTGTCGATAGCATATTGTTCAATTTTAAATAAGTATTGGTCAAGGTGGTGGAAGAATTGCCTGAAAATCACTGTTTTTTTTTCAAATAATGAGAATGGGCAGAAGTTCCCTTGTGGGTCCACGTCTTTTTCTTCAACTTACGCTATGAGAGTAGGTTGTTTCCTGACTGAAGCATGCCCAATCCAGCACGTAAATCTCTTCCAGTACTTAAAGATCAATTGGTGAATCTCTGACAAAATTATCAAAGTTATCTCCTTTAAATACATTTTTCAATTCAAATGAAGATGCATGAGTTCGCATTTTACATCCGCGCGTACTCAGAAGAACAGAGAGAAATAAGCGTTACTCTATGCGCTGGTAGTTTTAGGCACACTCTCAGTAGATGTCACCGCAATAGAAGGTGAAATATGACCGCCTTGAGTCATTATCACATGTCCAAAAGGACACCGAAGTTCAAGCAGTATGAATGAGTTGTCATTTAAGTTGATGAACATTTATAGGTGCCGCTTATCTGAAATAAGTATGTAACCTATTTGGACATCATTTACTAGTAGTTGGCAAGGGGAAGAAAGGTTTGGAATCTCTCAAAGAGAGACGCAAATTATG